GTTTTAATATTTTTGGTGTGGCTTTGTGGACCTTTCTTTTGACAGCATTCCTCTCGTTTTCAATAAAAAAATAATGATAAAATAAACCTCGAGTGAATTATATACATAAACTGAACTGGTCTTATCTTACCTTACATGTATGGGCATGCCTTACCTTGATTTTGTTTTAATTTATTTAGTTTAAATAGAGATTCCTGACAAAGTCAAAAAGCTTTGATGCAGTTTATATTTAGAAAAAAGGGTTCTTGGGGGGTGCTATATAGAACTATAGGGGTTCTAGCCACAGTAAATTGAACCATTGCCTTCAAAAAGGTGCTATTTATTTTAATTGAACCCTCTATAATGGTTCTATATAGAACCTTTGAGGGAGTCATATATGTACCAAGCTATAGAACCCTTAAAGGTTCAATATGGAGCCTTTTGTTTTAAGATTGTAGGATTGCTGATTGTAGGATTTAGCTCAGGGCTATTTCAGCAAGCATGGAATCGGGCAGATTTGTCTCTGGGAAGTATGCGAAACTGAGCTAAAGTAAAAGGTTGCCCTGGAAGAATAATTTCCTCAATTTGCTCAGACTATGTTGTCCATTTATGATGACTAGGTTTTCCAGCAGGATAGTGCTCTGTACCATAAATCCAGGTCAATAAAGAGGTCAAGGAAAATAATAAGTTTAAACCTCCTTTGAAATTTGCTTCAGCCTCCCGATCAGACCTCCCCCAGTCATCAAAATCTACCAAAAGGCACCTGCTGATAGGGTTGCCAGATCCCCCACAAGGTGTGTATGGAGGACCAAGGAGGATCAGGACTCTAACATGGACAATTCAATCTCCAGACCTGAACCCTATGGGAAACCTCTGAAATATTATGAAGTGGCAGATGAATAGTCACAAGTCATCCGACAAAGTTGTTTTAACTTTTTTCCTTGGAATGGGATTAAGTCAGCCAGCAACAATGTGATGGACTGGTGAAAAGCATGACAAGATGCATCAAAGCTGTGATAAAGAATCAGGATTATTCCACCAAATACAGATTGGTGAACCCTTCCTAAGTAAAAACATTATTATCATATATTTAGTATTAAGTATAACTTAATTTAGTTTGCATTATTTGTTGTATAACTAAATAAGTAAATGACAATATTTTTATTTGGATTTTGGAATCAAATTTCATATGGACACATATGCATAATTTGTAAAACCTGTGACACTGAAATGATTAGGGTGGGCAGGATGATGTGTAGCCTCCCTGTGACTACAGTGTCCTGTCATGTGTCTGGAGTTTCAGGGCTCTGGCAAGTTCTTTATTTGAATGAATGAGTCAAACCATTTTCCCAAGAATGATGGTCTTTTCCAGTGCAGTGGGTCATCTCATAGCCCAAAATAAGATCAGGTCGTTTGAGCTTTAAGTGAAAGTAGGCTTGAACCCACTTGTTTGTTTTCCTCATGGTCTATGGTATTCTAAAAAGTCTTGGTCAGCACCTAGTTTCAATGGTTTCAATACTTTTCCTGCCCTGCTTAAAAATAAACCAGGACAGACAGATAGTAGACATGCATGTAGGTCTTCACTAGGGCCAAATGCTGGGGCCAAAGTGAGCTCACTGACCTTGCCCTACCATCTGCAAATTTCACAACACTACTTAGTAGAGTTAATTATTATACAGACGCATGCATCAGAAGTAGTGGCAGCATAATGGCTGGGCGGCAATGCTGTGGTCTCACTTCCAGGACTGTGGGTTTCATTCCCAGCCTTGAAGTTCTGTGTAAGTGCATGTTCCTCCTGTGTCTAGGTAGGTTTACTGTGGCTCTTCTGGTTTCCTCCCCAAATCCAAAGCATATAGTTAGATAAACTGGTATGTCTGAGTTGTCCATAGTGTATGGATTGGTACTGCTGTGCTATGCTTCTTGGCCTCAGCACCAGTCGATAGCCAGGTAAGGAAAACTCATACCTGGATTTGCATTGGGAATTGCACTTCTAGGCAAAGAGGAAGTGCTGTGTTAGGTTCTAGCATTCAGCAAGGTGCTTCAGTCCAAAAATTCAGCAATACATGTAACATTATGCACATTATGAAATTAATTAGCAAGAAAGTAGAAAAATGGGGTTCCATATTAATCCACCAAAGGACATTTGTACATCTAGGCAAATTTAGGTTAAATTGAATATATTAACATCCACTTAGTTCTTTAGGATATCACTGACTATTTTAACAAAATGAAAATTTGAAGAAAACTTATATATTGGACTTTTGAGCACAATTCCAGGAATTTTCTGAAAATTTTATGCCATTGTATTATTTATAAACAACAAACCTTTGCATATACTGTAGTCAACCATAGAGGCAATTGGACATTCAATTTTATATTCCTCTTATAAATTCAATTAAATTACTGCACAATAATTCAACATTTATTTTATTACAAATCATTTGATTTTGGTAATCTATTCAGACACAACATTTTTTTAACATTTGCAATATGAAAACACACATACACATACACAAATAAACGGGCAATACGAACAAAGAAATAAAACTAGTATTAGTATTAATAAAATAATGCATATTAACATAATTCATTCAAAAAGTTTCAATGAATTTCTTAAGAAATTTTCAGTGGATGTTAATTGACACGATCCTCCAGGGGGCGGTGTTCTGCTAAGGGAGAGGATTTTGGTTTCAGGCTTAAGAATGAACACTCGATTCAGCCGTTTTTATTCAATTAGATTTATATTAAATGTTATTTGTCTGGGAAATATTCTGACTGACTTAAGTTAGTCAATCAGCATTTCCATCTCATTCCTATTTAGTCTTTGTCACAGATTCCTGTTTTAAATCTTGTATAATCTAACCCTATGTCTGACCCAAAGAATTCACTTCAAAGGAATTTCTGGTGTTTTGCTTTTTTAATATCAGATGGACTGGGGAGTTTTCCACTGTGAAGTGAATGTGCTTAGGAAGTCCATTGCAGGAAGCCGTAATTAGGTTGCAGGCACTGATGGACTCAGTATCTGCCCATTATAGCTGGATGCTGCACTCGCGGACGCTTCCGGAAACCTCCCGGCTTCATGTTCATGTAATCATTCTGAAGGCACTGTTTAATCTTGAGTTTGTGCTGAGAAACAAAGAAAGAGGAAAGGAAAGACAGATTAATGTTTATTTTTTGAACTATCAGTATAATAGTATACCTATTTGTACAATTAGTAGTGCAAGGAAGACTGATTTTACAAGGCTTATGATTATATGGAAAGAAAATCTTCATCTACTAAAATCTCAAAATATGAATTTAAAATCATTTTTCATGACATAAATCATTTGAAGATATATTATTTTAATACCCATGGACCCCACTCTTGGCAGTAAGCTCACCCAGAGAACAGCAGTAATGCAGGTCATGGCCAGGCAGTAGAAACCCAGGATCCCATAGCCTATAGGCCACCAGAAGAAGGTGGGTGGGCTCTCGGAGGGGCACTGTTTTATTCCTTGCGGCTGGCAGCGCTCTTCTGTGAGGAAAGCAGATCCATAAAACAGTGACTGGCATTATTAGGACGGCCTTTGAAAGGTTCTGTGTTGTTATTTTTCTCTGTGTCAGTCCTGATCCTGACCCTAATCCTAGTCAGCGGTATAGTGCACCCTGAATGGGATGCCAGCACACAGCAGGCAATTCGGAGACGGAGCACCCAGAGGGAACTTGCGCAAGAGAACCTGCACACACACCAGGTGCTGATGGGTTTAGAACCCCCCAGCTCTGCAGGTCTACAGTCCACTACCCCCTGAGCCACTCCAGCACTGTATGTAATATATGTATATATATCTTCTCAAATTTAATCACTATATCAATTTAAATATTTATTTTCCACATTTGAACTTTTAAAACCTGATAATGCAGTGGTAAAAGACCTTTGAATTTAAACCATAAGTATGCAGTTTAACATCTACCAAATTGCTGCTGCTCTCAGTCTCTTCAGTTTAAATAAACAGTATAATCATTTTTGAAGATCAAACAAGTCATTAGACATTGACAGTAAAAGTAACTTACTGCTCCTACCACACCTTCTCCTAGGAGGTGCAGGAGTATGGTTGATGGACTATCAAAATGGGTCTGGTGTTTAATATTCAGAACACAGACCTTTTTGACGGGTATGCCAGTTTATTATGCTTTAACCTTTTCCTGGATTTAGCAGTACATTTAAATTTAAAGTATCCTCCATAAGCCCTGGATCAGGCAACTTGAAATACGCTAGAAATATAATAGACAGTTTTGACTCATATTCACATGTTGTCACCTCAAATCCAACTTGTTCACATACAGTATACAGCAAAAATAAGAAAAGTGACTTTACTCGTCCTCACCATAACCCTGTACAGCAGACCTGGCCCATGTGGAAGAAGAAAAAAACAGGCAAAGTTCCATATTGGAACACAAAAATTAACCTCTCCAAAAAGAACCTCTTCCATAGTAGCTTTTGAGGGACATGAAAATGATCATTAAAAACGGCTCCTGTTGACATGCTGAAAGTTGGGTTTGGCCTTACATAGAAAATTATTGCCCAGGCCTGCTGCAGAGGTTCAGCAGTTATGGAAGCTGGCTGGCTGAGGAATAGTACTGCAAACATGACTCTTACACTATTATAGGAATAACAGAAACATGGTTGAGTGACAATGATGGAGAAGAGTATAATATGGATGGTTACACGTTGTTCTGTTGGGACTGGATAGGCAAGAAGGGAGATGCTGTTGTTGTATATGCAAAAGAGAACCTGCTGGCAAGGCAGCTCACTGATAAAAATAAAAGCTGTATGGGTAAAACTAGATGCCAAAAACTCAAATTGTCGGTGTTTGTTATAGAGCAGCTATTGTAGCTGCAGAGGAAAGCAGAACGTTATATGACGGTATCTGGATTATGAGTAATAAAAATGATGTGGTGGTTATGGGTGATTTTAATTTACCTGGGAAACAGTGGGACATAGTATCTGGCTCTGTTGCAAATGAATTTGAGATGGTGTAATTGGTACAGAATTGCTTTTTTACTCAGTTTCTTAAAACCCCTACCAGGGGAGAAGCCAGTCATCTTGTTTTCTCTAATAACCAGAATCGGATTGGAAAATTTGAGGTTTTAGAACCACTTGACATTAGTAATCATAACAGGGATAAATTTAAGTTTAATTTTAGTGTCTGAAGAGCAAAGTGAAGGAGGATGTACAAAACTGAAAGCATAAACTGTAAATTGGATGGAGTTAAATAACAAAACTGATGAAGAGCTAGGGGTATTTTTCATATAATATAATATAAGCAATTATTGCATGTGCAAGAGGACTTCATACCTGATTCCAGCAAAACTAAATGCAGGAAACTACAACCAAGGTGGTTTACTAGTGAAATTAAGAATAAAGTCAGGAGGAAAAGGGCTCTGTTCCACAAATAGAAAATAACTAATGATGTCAGAATAAAGCAGGAGTATCTAAGTCTGTAGGTTGAGTTAAAAAAATATTAGACTCGCTAAGAGGAATGTTGAAAGGAAGATTGCATTAGAAGCTAAGGATGACATTAAAAGTTTCTTCCAATATTTTCACTCGAAAACATCTCTAAAAGCTAAAATAACTAATCTGTAAGATAGTAAGGGTCTTATAATTGAATATGAAATTGATATAGTTAATGAGTTGAATAATTGTTTTTCACGGCTATTCATTGTAGAGGACACGAGTGACATACTAAAGGGGATATAAGTAATCCAGCAAACTATAGGCCAATCAGTTTAACTTGCATAACTGGCAAAGTAATGGAAGCTATAATCCAAGCAAAAATGGTAGATTACCTGGATTCAAATAACATTCTGAGGGATAGCCAACATGGATTTAGGAGAGGTAGATATTGTTTAAGTAATCTATTTGAGTTCTTTGAGGAAGCTACAAAAGGAATTGATCACAAAAAGGCTTACAATATGATCTACTTAGATTTCCAGAAGGCCTTTGATGTTGTCCCCCACAAACGACTCCTACTTTTAAGAACTGCAGTAGTTTGGATTGAAAACTGGTTAACAGACAGGAAGCAGCGGTTAGTTATTAGAGGCACAATGTCACAGTGTGCCTGCGTTCATAGTGGGGTACCCCAGGGTTCAGTTTTAGGACCACTTTTATTCCTAATTTGCATTAACACCAATTGACACCAATATATACAATAAACTGATTAAATTTGCAGACGACACCAAGGTGGGTGGTGTGACAGATACTGAACTAGCTGCACAGAGGCTACAGCAGAATCTTGATTTAATTAGTGACTGGGCTGATACCTGGCAGATGAAATTTAACATAGATAAATGTAAGGTAATCCATGCAGGGAGCACAAGTATAAAATACAGATATTTTATGGGTTCCACTGAAGTAAAGCTAGCTGATTATGAGAAAGACCTCAGTGTGTATGTTGATGCTTCCATGTCCCACTCTCGCCAGTGTGCGGAAGAAATTAATGATGTTGGGTTACATCTCTAGCTTCAAAAGGGTGCAGCGTAGGACTACAAGAATGATTCCTAGCCTTAGATGAATGACTTATGAGGAGAGGTTAGCTAAGCTGAATCTGTTCAGCATCAAGCAAAGGACACTAAGGGGGGACATGACCCAGGTATATAAGATTCTAACAGGCATGGATGCTGTTCAACCAAATAGTTACTTTAATATTAGTTCGAATACTAGAACTCGTTGCCATAGGTGGAAATTAGTGGGAGAGTATTTTAAACTAGATCTGAGAAAGCACTTCTTTACACAGCATGTAGTTAGAGTATGTAATAGTCTTCCTGTTAGTGTAGTGCAAGCTAAAACCTTGGGTTCCTTTAAATCAAAGCTAGATAAGATTTTAACAACTTTAAGCTATTAGTTGAATTCTCCCTAAATGAGCTTGATGGGCCAAATGACCTCTTTATAAATTTCTTATGTTCTTAATTAATGAGCCGCTATAACAGTAGATAATTAGCAGGTGTACCTTCAACAAAGACAGCAATCAATCTAGCAGTCAGCTTCCTATATGGGGGAGGAAACAGAACCTCTGCCTCACATCCGTAAATGCCTGTGCTGTTGGCCTGCACACTTGAAATCTCAAAGTGGGCCTCACGATTCCGGTGGTTCACTTTGAGGTCCACGCCCATCTCTACGGCATTCTGATGCTTGAAATGGCTCCCATTGAAGGTTCTGTTGCAGATCTGGTGCTTGTTGAAGGACAGTTTAAAGGTCATCTCATCTTCAGTGGCATTAGGGCAGGGTACGATTAACGGCTCGTGGACTTTCAAATGCATCGTCTGTGGGTATATATCTGAGGAGAGAAAACAATCATTGGTAACACTCAGAATGCCATTACGTTCATTGCTGTGCTTATATAGTTTTCATTGTTGTTAATCAAAGTTCTTAAAAGCATGAACTGAAAACATCCGGAAAGGAAAATGTGAATCGTCAGATGCTGGAGCATCCTGAACAACCTTTTTTTCATCAATGCTGAACATCAAATATTTTCAGTTTCAATAGGCTGGCAAACATTCAAAGGATGTGATAACTTATACCTTTTTTTTCCATTGATGACATGTTCAAGTTATTTTTTTAGCATATGCATATTACCAATTTGCTAGCAGTGCGCCATAAAATATGTGACTACTGAAGGCGATTTTCTCAATCACAAATGTGCAAATGCTTCATGCATTGTAACAATGTAACTTACACTACATTTTTAAACTCGTGTGACTCAAAGTGAAATAATGTTTCAAAACTATAATTATAGACTACCAGCAGTTCTAATCTGTTGTTCTCAAAAGAGAAATCTGGGCTTCGACAAACATTGAACATAAGTAAATAGAGTTTAAACTGTACCTAAGTATCTTCATAAATAATATATGTTTATCATTATTTGATCATATTATCTTTCTGAATACATACCATGGATGACAAATGCAATTTGAGTGTCAGGATACCACCGGAACAATAGTTTTTTTTCTTCATATTTTATTTACGAAAATATATGCTCAAGACGTGGCTCACCATTGCATCCGAAGGAAAGGTTCGTGAGGGTCCAGAGGCAGAGAATCAGAAGAGCTGCTCTAAGCTGGGCGAGATGCATCTTGGTTCTCCCCCTGCTGAAGTGAAACTTCATCTCAGCCAGTTCCTCTTAAAGCCCAGGCTGCTGGTAGGAAACCTTCTCAGTGTGACAACAACCTCCCACGGGTTGGGCAAGTCAGGCATGTCGCAATTTATGTGCGGCATAGAAAACAGACGTAGATTCAAGGCTGCGATCCACTACAGCAGTGTTCCCATCCAGGTCCACGGGGACCCACAGTTAGTCCATGTTTTCGCTCCCTCCCTGCCAGTTTCTGCACAGTAGAATATTCCCTTCAAACACTGTTTGAATGTGAGAAATTTTGATTACCACATAGATTAATGCACTTTGAAGAATTCAAGCAAAGAGATGTAAAAATGTGGAGTATACTAACTTTAGTAAGGCTAATAACCTGTTTTTTTCAGATTCAAATGATACTGGTTTACATTTAAATGGGACATTTACTTTTTGCATGACCTTTGAGTGGATCGTGTTTCATACCGAACAGAAAATCTCTCTATTGTGAGTCAGATCTTATGTCGTTAGATGTTGTTTTTTTCTGTTTCATTTCTTAATTCAGTGAAAAGAACATCACTCTTTCCACTATTTAACACGGATGCGCTTAGTGTTTCCTTCCAGCCTAGTTGGTTGCTCATCTAAGAAGATAGGCGGCTTTCTGAGGATATTTTAGGGACAGGAAAACTGTTAAGACAAGTCTGAGCTTAACTTACTGTGCTGAGAGTAAATGTTTTGTTTGATTGTCTGGAGAGAACATAGAGAGGAAGTACACAGAGTTTTTTTTGTGCAGTCTCAAGTTTGCTGCTTGGTGAATGTCATGTATCAAAGACAGTTTGTATGTGTGTCAGTGTTTATGTATGAGATGTGTGTGTGTGTGTGTGTGTGTGTGTGCGTGAATGAGAGAGAGAGAGAGAGAGAGAGAGAGAGAAAGAGAGACTTACTGACACACCTGCCATCAATTATTCATCATGATTAGCAAAAACGTCAGTTAAAGCAAAGCAAAGCATCACCTTTGATGTGGAGGAAAATTCATTCATCACTTTGCTACAAGTCCTGGTCAGGGTTGCTGGAGCCTAACTCAGGCAGCTCAGGGCATAAGGGCAGGCCACCCCAGACGGGATGCCAGTCCGCCATGGGGCACGTACACAATCAGACACTATGTGTAATTCTGGTCCCCCAGTTAGCCTAACTACATGTCTGAAAGATATCCACACGATAACTGCTGGGCACCCGCTTGCTCCCATTGCTGATAATTATTATTATATTTCATCTTATTGTTTTAAAAAAGTGTTAAAAGTGGCTGTAACATTTTATGACACATGTAGTGCAGATTGTATTACCCATAATAATAGTTATAAAAAGTCATATTTTCAGATAGCTCTGTGTCTTTAGTTCAGTTGAATTAATTGAGAATGATGAACTGAACTCAGTCTGACTAAATCTAAAAATCTAGAACTTCTAGGGTGGTTCTCAAAAAAAAAAAAAAAAACGTAACGTACTGGCACATAAGAGGGAAAGGAAGCAGGTGACAGAGTCATGAATGCTGGATTTCCTGTTTATCTGCACCCCTTTTGAAGTTCAACTAAAAGATCCCTTTTGTTGAACTCAAAGGCCATGTGGTATTTTTAGTAATCCTTTTATAACTCTACGGTGCCAGGTGAATATCCTAAAACTTTGATAGAACTGTCTACTCATTCATAATGTGTCAAAGAAGTATTTCATTTTTGCATACATACATTAACATTAAACAGGTATGCATTTGATGGATTTCTGTATGTAGGTGCCATGGGGTTCAACATTTTCTTGGCGGCGTGGATACAGTTGAGGGTATGAGACCCACCCCTCTGCTCCCCTTCAAATCTCGATCCATGTCATGAGTTACTCATGCAGTATACCTTGCTGTACCTCAACAGAGGAAACCACTATAGCAAGATAACTTTTCCTCACTCGAAGATGTATGTCAAAGCCAAGTATTATAAAAGCCAAATTCTTTTCTACCAAATGGATGCTTCCTGCAGCTGTGCACTGAACCACTTCCGTTTTTCACCACATAGGTAAAAGTCCACGACTCTACAAACCCTGCAAAATAATTGCATTCAATTCAAAACCAGCACTGAAATTCATTAAGTGTCATGAATATGGGAAAATCCTTCTCGTTAACATTTTGAGACATATCCTCTGGATTTTTTGTATGGAAAATGCTATTAGCAAAGTGAATATCTATGCATGATCATTTTCATGCTGGATCGTACCTTCCTTTCCCTGTTGTCAGGTTAGATTGCTGTGATGCACATCTTTCCGGCTGTGTACACAGTTGCAACCAATGCTCTGCAACTAGCACACAAGGCTGCTGCTCCAACCAAATAGAAACTGCAAAATTTCACTGCACCAGAGCAGCCAAAGATTTAAAGACTCTTAAGAACTCCATTCTTACGGCTGGGCTTACATTTATTTCTGAAATATTTCTCAGTTCTCTCTCGTTTCTTGAAGGTTTCTCAGTTTTCAGTTAATAAGAAAGCAACTGTCTGGTTATTCCAGAAAAGGCAAAAACAACTTCCACTAAAATACTTCATCCTTAAATATGACCCAGTCATTTTGTTATATTTGTTTTTGTTTGTTATAACCTTGCAGCTTCCAAATTGTAAAAATTCCAAATTCCAAAAAAAAAAACCCATTCCATCCATTGATCTGCCATCTGCTTATAATAGTCAGGGTCACCCAGGCCCATTGTCTGCCTGTGTGCCTGACCGTTGACAAAAACATGTGGGGTGGAGGGGTTCAAAACCATTACTTAACCGAATGGTGCATGCCGACGCCTCGATTGGCCTGACTGTATGGGCACAGAGCACTATCCTGCTGGAAAACCCAGTCATCACAGTTGGGGACCATGGTCTGAGAATAGGGAGGCAGGTATTCTTGCAGGACAACCTTATATGTTGCTTCAGTTACACATACATCCCAGAGACAAATATGCTCGATTCCGGCCATGCAGAAATACCCCCAGATCATCAGCTATCTGCACCAATTTTCATTTTTGTGTAAATGCCAGACTGGGAGGGACGTGGTTATTGTACTATGTGGCTATGTGTCTGGGGTCACCTGAAGACTATTCCAGGCAGTGTGGGGCACACCGTGGGGATAAATGCTGTACAGGATAGTCCATTACGGGGGACATATGCAACAAGCCATTTAGAGATGCTAATTAGCCTACCTGCATGTCTTTGGACTGTGGAAGGAATCCAGAGCGGCCAGAGGAAATCTTTGGCACACAAAGAGGGCATGCAAACTGCAGAGGTCGTGCAGTGGTGACTTACAACACTAGAGGCACATGGACTTCCACCCCACCCCTAAATATACACACAGTACCGCAGTACAGAGAAGAAAATGCAGGGGTGAGAGAAACCTGCGTTCCTTTGCTTGATGGCAGATGTAACAAGTCTGCAAATGCTGTAATTTAATTTAAGTAGTACGTACAGTTTCATACGTGACTTTCACGGCAGAATGTCCTCTCTCATAAAAACATTAAATCACCAAAGACACAAGAATTCAATTCTACAACCATCATGTAACACAATCATTAATTTTGATAACAGTTTAGAAGCAACAAAGTAGGCGACATAAATCATACAATAGAACTTGTAGCATTTACATATATATTTTATATATCAATGTTATGTTTATGAGAACCATTAGCTGATGCGTATTATTATTATTATTATTATTTTATTATTATTGCATTGTATTAATAATTATGATTGGTAGATTCATAACAAATAAAACTAAAAAAATGGGTGAAAAATTCAAGTGATTTCAAATCTCGATATGTATAAAGGTAAAGGTTCGAAAACAGAAATTAAACATATATTTTAGATTTAACAAAACAATGTCCATTAGCTTAATGGCAGCATTCCTGCTGCCGCTGGGACCCCGGCGTCCTTTCATCACAGTGTACGGCGGCCTCGTCATTCTCATTAGCTCCGCTGATTAGTCGAGCCAGATTTCTGGGCCGGACAGGAAGCGGGACGAAGGGAAAAAGGCTGAAATCCCTGCCCGTGGTAACAGTGCTGGGATCGAGAAGCAGAGTCTCAGCGCGCGGCGTGCGGAGTCACAAAGGCTCGCCGCCGCAACGACTGTGCGCTTATGTGATCGCCGGTACAACTGGACTTTCTTCAGCATTAATTTTTCCTGTTAAAGCTTTTTGAAATCAGATATCAGGAAAGGAAAAAACGTCCCCAATAAATAAAGCCTCAGTGATTTTCTTACAGTGAGTAGCAAATTGATATTTATATATATATTTTTTTTTGAATCGATGCATCATTTATTTAAAATGATTATTGTGGCTTATACAGAAAGGTGTTTTATGAGTTTAGTTACTATAGGACGCTGGATGCGCTGTGGTTTTCAAAAAATCGTTTTAGGTTTTGGACGTTATATTGAAACAGGAGCGAAAACCTTTGGTGTGGTCGCATGTAAGCCGGAGATGTCTGTCCATGTTCATCACGGCAAGCTCGCAAGTGCCCGGTTTATAACCGCAGCACCGTGCGATTTTTGCAATTATATGTGAAGTGACAGACATGCTGGTGCCAGTAGGCTGATGGGGAGTGTTGCTGGTTAGTAAAACGACGATATGAGCTTTGGTGAATTACGGTGTGTCCTTTCCATGGGATATGCGGGGTGTGCGCCGTAGGGACAGACACAGGAAAACGCCGCGGATGTTTGGAGGCCTGTAAAAACTACTCGGTATGAAATAACGGACCACTTATTAAGCAGTATAGCGTATGATAGTTATGTTCCTGCAGGTCCTTTTTTAAATTATGGAAATGTGCATGGGAAAATGGGCAGTATCAGAAATAGCCATTTTTGAGAGTATGGGCGTGTTCCTTATCTCTCCTTTATATATCTTTTTTAAATGAAATTGTTATAAGATTTTAACCCGGTGAAAAAGCAGATACCTTATGGTGATCTTAAAGAATAAGTCTTCTCTATATGCGGTATTTGCATGTTAAGGCGAACAACGGTAGCAGGCAGGTCTCAGGGCGGAGCCCAGGTGACGCTGGTGTGCATGTGGGATCGCATCAGATCAGGGATGATCGGCCTCTGTAGCCTTTCTTATCGCATCACTGTTTTTGTGTAGCTGAGGTGTAGAGGTATATCAGCTGCGTGGGATTTATACTGAGGTGCATTTCGACTCTTCTGTGGCAGGAGGCCCTGGAAACGCATCGCGAACATGCTGTAGGCTTTTGTCTGTCATCTGACCATGGAACGACATTAACTTGGGCGGTAACTAATTGTTACTAGTGGCGTATTTGATCACAGCTATCGCTGTTGTAATCACCAACTGTAATGTGATGCAAATTTATAACGAGTGATATTAAGTACTGTATGTGGTTTGTTTTAATAGAAAGGGCTTCTCCATTTTAGGGGTGTTGTGGGGGTGTACATCGTCCATTATAACTGTATTGCCCGTCCATGGGTAAGTAAGGACACACCAAAAAGTTGAATCCCTGCTGATCAACAAACATTAAGTATGCAGTTATCTAAATGCAGCTGTCAGAAGCGTCTCCCAAATTAGTGACAGCCGTGTCTCCATAATAGTGCTGGCCACAAGGGAACTGTGTGATGTCTGGGTACTTGAGTGGCACCTGTATAATGCTCTAATTTTGTATTGGGTTCCTGTTTCAGAGTGTAAAAGATCATTGACTTGCACAGCTGAAACATCTAGCTAAAGAGCAACAGGTTGAGTAAAAATCCAATTAAAGCATCAAAGGACTTGAAAATTTGTAGTAAAAAACTTTACCGTAACCTCTTATTGTTATGAGGGTAATGAGGTTTGCAGGCATAGTTGAAATATTGGTGGTGTTTGTATAGTCCCTCATTGGTTATGTTAGTCAGGCTCCGAATTTCATTGTTTATTCACCAAAGAGTCAAAGCTGGTTATGATAGGAGGTAGGAACCTGTCTTAATAAATGAAATTTTATTTGTTTAATGTGCTGTACTGGAGAATAAACATGTAACTTTTAGATGCCAAATGGATGATTTTCCGATTAGTTGTCTTGGGGTTTGAAAGAAATGATGCTGGATAGGCATTATATACATTGGAGACAGACAAAGGCTCTGGGTGTTATGGACGGTGTTGGTGGTGTTTGTTAGCAAGACACTTTGGAGATTAACGGCATAGTCTGTCCTCACTATATTTGATAGCTCGGCCACAGAGCTGAATATTGCTCCTCCATGCTTCAGGAAGACGTGTATTTATGTAGATGTGGTGGTAATTTGTGTGTGTGTGTTGTGGGTTTATCCATGAGTGCTCCTGTGCTGTTTGCAGCAGCCAGGAAGTAGAGAGCAGCTAAAAGCGGCTCCCCTTCTCTTTGCCTTCTGCCCGCCTCACCCTCCTATCACATTGCCGGTTAGCTGGCACCGTGTGGGTAGGCGTGATGCCAACAAGAAGAACTGTGTGCCTCCTACCACTGGTGGCCAGTATCTAATAATGGACAGCCAAGGTGTCCCGGCTGAATTCCCTTCCTAGCACGGCCAGGCTGATTTATCGAGCTGCTGGGGGCTACTGGTCGCGCTGAGATGAGACGGTTCACATCCTCACTGTTTGCAATGCTCCAGGGCTCCATCTTCACACAGGGAGAGCATTCTTAGCGAGCCCCATTTTAAGCATAGAAATTAAGTCTGTTTTTTTTTTTTTTGGTTTTTTCCTTTATGTAGGTGATGTCATTAAAGAAATACTTTAACCAGGAGCCAGTGGCCCACAGGGCTTTGATGAATGGAGGGGATTGATTCCATGCACCACAAAAACAATGCCCAAAGGTGCTTGCTGGCCACAAGTGGGGCTCATTTGGAAGGCAGGACTATGTTGTTTTCTGCTTTTAGAATGCCAGGCTGTTATGTCCTTCCATTCATTTCTAGTAACTGCTTAACCACAAGCCTGATAGTTTCCCTTTGATCTGCGATGATCATAGGTTAAAGAGCAACTTATTGCCTCAACACCCACACACACAGTCACTCATAAAGAGCTATGTAGAGTCGTGATTTATTACATATTATGTATCTTTGGATTGCAAAAGGAAACTGCTATACATTTGGATAAACATGGAAACAACTCTGTGAACATAGGGCTGGGGTCACTGGATGAACCTCTCAGCTGCTGCTATGATTAGGGATTAAAAAAATGATGAATTCCTTGGGAGAGCTTGTTGCTCTCTGTCCTGTGGATCAGGTTCAGGTCATTTTATGGAGACCTTACTAGCTGAGCACCAGTTGTTCTCCAGCCTGTGCTACCAGAGTGGTGCCTTACTGGTGTCTTGTTACCCAACTGTGTGCCTCATAAAAAGAAACGTCAGTTATCTTCTTTAGTGTGAACGAAAGCCAGCAGTGGTTGTGAAACTGGAGCTGGGCTGCTGGGCTTGAAGTCGTGCACTGGAGTCGGCTGCGTGATTGAGGCTTGTGTGCTAGTTATCTAGACCAGTGTTTCCCAATCCGGTCCTCAGGGACCCACAGACAGTCCAGGCATTTGGAGTAAAAATGTGGACTGTCTGGCAGGGAGCTCAGAGGGAGCAGAAATATGGACTGACTCTGGGTACCTGAGGACCGGATTGGGAATTGCTGATCTAGACTCCTGAAGACTGGATGAGGTACCACCATTCATGAAGATGCTGGATAAATATGTTATCTGGTTAGTTTTATCATCTGGCAGGTCTGCTGAGGGTTTGCTGCACTCCTACCCTAGTTTGGTGGTCAATGGATTACGTGACTGGACATACTACTCACAGCATAGATGGGATTGACTTATGTAGAGACTTCAAGTAAGCCACCAAGTAGGGTCAAGCGGTATTTTGAAATGTTAGCAAAATGTACCATGTGGGACAACTTTACTATGTAAAGCACAACTATAGCATGTATGGTCAAAATACAAAATATCCGCAGTATAATGTTTGGCCCAAGCCTCCTATCAACTTTACTATATTCCTGCCTCAGCAGACTCGAGAGCTGGGAGGGAGCAAAAACATGGACTGCCTGGGAGGTCCCCAAGGACCGGGTTGGGAAACACTGCGCTATGCTATGGAAAACAATGGCAGGCCTATATGAAGTTAGTTGCTGTGCAGCTCTCTCTCATCTCACTGCCACAGTCACCCCATGTTTCATCTTTTATCTCCCCTTGAACAGCAAAGTTCAAAGGTCGTCATTCTCCCTGAAGGGGATTTTTTTGTTGAAATTCCAGCTGGAGTTTGTATCTGGAGTTTGGGCATGGAGGCTGGCCTGGCTGACCCCACAGTTACCATCTCTTTCTGCTGTTTCTGCATCACTTGTTGGTCTGTCTCGGTAATTGGCCTGGGTACCAAACTTTGGTACTTTTGTGGTACCAACCAAAATGGTCCAATCCTATTGAATATCGAAAATTTCCAATACCCAAATAGTAAATCTCAGCATATGCGAGGTAATAAGCATGACGTGTAAAAATCTAAAGTCACTGGCGATTAGCTGTCTAGCATAATGTTTCAAGAACATGCCATATAGGCCGGAGGAAAAACATATGCCCAGAGGCAAATTTGTGAACTGGTTTGCATGTGTGTTGTTTTTGTTCGTCACGTCGTGTAAAAAATGACTAAGAAATCAAAAGTGTGGCTCCGCAGCGTTCCAGGCTACGACCATTTAGTTGCAGTTTGCGACCATTTTTGGAGATAGTTATAAAATTTAAAAATCTAACATGGAAGTTACACGGAAGTGCAGAAAAACAGACAGTAGATGGAATTATTTTTGTACCTTGATTGAATACCTTTTGCCTGTGTCTCCAGTCGGTGCCGGCGGTGAAATTTGCCAGCGCTTATTAGCGGGATAACGTTACATTGTTTTTTTTATTCTGTGGAAGATGAAAGATCGATCTCCTGGCCAGATTTATTTATGAAATATATCAATAAAATCAGGGCTGTCAAGTCTCAGGCATTAAGACATGCATTTCAACCAGTTCACAGGCTCACACACCACACCTTATGTTTCTCATGCTGGGGAGTAAGGGATAACGCCCATTGAGGTGTCCCACTATATAGAATTAATGGACGATGTGCAGGCGTGCAGAGTGCAGTTTTCCGCTGAGTTCATAGCTGTTCCGAGTTAAATAACCACCTACCAGCCAATCAGAAAATAGCATCTGTTTCAAGCATGTTATTACATGGATGTTCCCACAGATGGAGTTCAGACAAGGTGGAAGTGACAGAGCAGGCTAACAGATGTAATCTTAGTCCAGACTTTTGATGAAAC